TTAAATCCACAAGTATGTTTTTGTAATTTGATCTATAAATACAAAAAAATTACACTTATCAAATTTCAATTTTCACTTATTGACATCAGATTTACATTATATTTTATAGGATTGTATTATCTTTCATGTTCAGGGTAGTAAGATTGTCTATTATCTCCTGCAAAAGTAATAGACTCAGTCGTTCTCCACTGTGAAGGTCAAGGAACTGCTAATCATTTTATTACTTTGTTTTCAAAAACTCCCTTCTGTGTCAGTAGTACTTCAAGTCCAAATTTGGACACGGAAACAGCACAAAATTTGACACGGTGACATAAGACATTATGTACTTGAGTGCCCCTTTATGGAAGACTTTCAAAGGAGGGCTAATCACATTGATTGGAACAAGCCCAAAGACCAAGTATCGAATGCTAGCAGCAAGTGAAGGAAACTTGGACACCTTAAAGGAATTGAAGGAAATTGTCTTGGGTCTTTTCGACCTATAGTCCAGTAGACACTGGGCAGGGTCTCCTTACCTAGGGGAAGGGGACCTCACTGACTGTTAAGGTGTGAGCAATACTCTTAATGATAGAGCACTCTAGTGCAGTACAGGCTGCACACAAAAAACTAAGTCCACGTAAGAGGGTTAGACTCAGTTGGACCAGCCTTCCTTGTGCGAGTCCATGTAAGAGGGTTGAACTCAAAAGCAAGGAAGGCTGGTCCCCATTGGGTCATACTGCCAGAGCATGAACATATAACTCGGGTCTGACCTGTGTCCAGCCACCTCAGTGTTTGCTGGGTGCCCGGCCTGCCTATGATTAAGCTACAGTCTCTTTGTACTCTTTAGTGCCATCTTGGCAGAGCAGAGGCAAATTACTTAGTTGTTATATGAGGCTGTGTCAGTAGTGGGTAAAATGACTAATATTGTTTTCTTGCACTCAGGAGAACGTTTTCTTTTATATTTAATAACTAGTATTGTCAGTAATGAATAATCCTATAATTTTATTTTTTTCTTGCAAGACAGTTGCACACATTACAACAATCTGATACATAATTTCAAAAACAGACATTGCTCGAAATATTATAGAAAATATCAAAATTTGTTGCCGATTGTTTACACAGGAATGTTTTTTATATGGGAAATTAACTGCTAGAAAAAATAATGCATGAACCAACAAGAACTCAGCAATACTACATGATGTCAAATGCACAAATTTAAAATTTAATAATTTAAAAAATATTAATAGTCAACTAAACAAAGATGAAAGAATGCCAAGTGTTTAAATTTGTCACACTTCATTGTGTCTGTGCAACGAAGAAATTAAAAAACATGGTTTCAAGTTATAAAAGAAATATTAATAAAATTACCAAATAAATTTTGGGCCACAATTACTAAATGCTATTGCTACATAATAATCATAAATTTTAACTGTTGCAAAATTGAAAGTATTAAATTTCTTATGTTCTGATAGCAAGAAAGCCAGACAATAACATCAAAGCAAGAAAATTATGTTGTCAAAAATAGTTGCAACAGCCCATTTGAAATGAAATGGTACTGGTCCAGTCATTGAAACAAGAAAAAAAGAAAGTGTAGCATTTTGGCAAAGTTTAAATATTCTACATTGTTATTTTATCAAGAGTACAGCATTCTCATGCTGTGAGAGAATTTACTCTCTCACAGGTGGTATTAAGGTATTGTTTTTTGTAAACTTTCTCTGAATTTTTACATGAAAACCATTGTAGAAATCCCTCCAGAAGATATCAGTTGAGAACTAATACAAAACTCACAGTTCAATTGTTATTTTTTAGAAATTCATAGAAAAAAAAATGTGTTTTCTGGATACATACACCAAAAGATGAGGGTTAACAGATTAATACACTATAAATTATATCATAATAGTGAATGAATTTTTAGTCAAAAATTTGAGTATCAATTTTGCCAGAAAAAATTTAAATTTTAAATTTTTTTGTTTAGATGCAATCTTTATTTTTACCTTTAGATTTGAAAACTGTTTTGTAAGGAAATGGATATTTCAAATACTTTAAATGTATGTATAAAGAAGATATGAAAAAAACCCATATTCTATCAATCCCACAGCCACCTAATGCAGTAAAAATTTATTCAAAAGAAATTTTTAATTTAAAAAGAAAAATTTACCATTTATCACTGCCAAAGATTTGTTGATAGAGTTTGACCTTGAGGACCAGCCGGCCAAGTTGGTATAGATCCTGTCTGATCAGCAATATTTAATGCAGTATTTGTGGGTCTAATACCACCAGATGGTGCGTCTNATAAAGCCTCTCATGCAGAGACGTGTAGAGATTTTGTTTCACCTTAACCCAAGTAAAAAAAAGTATTTAAATGTAAAAAAAAAGTACAGTCGACCCCCCTATAAGATCATTGATTTTTCCGTTTTATCTGAATTACATGGCATCAAAAATCTTATGAGTTTATATATACACAATAGAAGCTTCATATTTACAAAACTGCTAAAAATATAAAAAAGGAGGATTACAAAAGTAATGTTAGGAGAAAAAAAATCATACACCTAAATGAGTGTATAAAACTGTTCATTTTCTAAAGAATTATTGCCACTCCACTATCTCAATTTTATGACAAATTAATCTATGTTGTAAATTATTTCTGTTGCATTTAGCATATATTTTTTTTAATGTTAATAACACAATAACACAAAATTTAATATATTTCTAATTATTATAATTTGCAATAATAATTTCAGATCAAAAATCTCTGATAAATTAAGATTATAAAAAGATTAGAAAACTTTTCAATTCAGTTCATTTCTTTAGTTTTCATAAAATATCTTGTAACAATAAGGCAAAGTTTCTGTATTAATTATTAAATGTTTTAATATCAAATAAAATTAAAACAATTGTATGAAATAATATAACACCAAATAAGTTATTTTATTTAAGCTTTTCCAGTTTTTTCATTCACTTTATCTAAAACATGACATACTCCTGGTCTAATTTCTGATATTTTATAAATTAAGATTACAAATAATTTGTTAAGTAATAGTTTTATCATCAATACTAGAATTAATTATTTTCTTGATGAATATTTGTCTTAATATTCTGGTACATGACAGTTTGAAATAATATAACTAAAATTATTTTGAAAAGGTTTTTATTTTTAAAGGTTACAGTTTATTTAAATGTTTCCACTTTTTCCTTCAGTTTATCTAAAGCAAGAAATTTCTGCATATAATAATTTTAAAATTAATTTTTCAGGATATAAATTATTTTCAGATCAAAAGTTTCTCGAATAAATTAAGATTATAAAAAAACATTTAATAATTAATGCAAACACTTTGCCTTGTTGTTACAAGATATTTTATGAAAACTAAAGAAATGAACTGAATTGAAAAGTTTTCTAAATATTTATAATCTTAATTTATCCGAGAGATTTTTGATCTAGAATTATAATTGCAAATTAATTTATAATAATTAGAAATAATATATTAAATTTTGTCTTATTGTTAAAGTAAAATTAATTTAATTAAGATTTGTGATCGAAAAATTAATTTTGTGATCTGAAATAATTTCATTCGANTGTAGTGTGAACTAGTGTAGTGTTGTCGCTTTTCAGTGTATTCAGTTGTCTCTGTTCTATTGTAACACAAGAGTGAACTGTTGTAGTACACCATTATTGTTTTTGCAAATTTGTATATATCTTTATTTTATATTTTTTGGGTCGTGAAAAAAATCACAATCATAAATGGGGTCATGAATAAAAAAGTTTAAGAAGCACTGCATTATAAGATAGCCTAATGATGATTGCAGAGAGAGCCAAAAATTGCTTGATTTAATAGATGATTTTCTGATTGAGACTGATTTTGCCTCATATGACAAAAAACAAATTTAAATATTTTGGCATAGTTTGTAACTATTTCCTAAAATTCAAAATTACATGAAGTAAACAGATTTGATTTCATTCCTAATGTTTGTCAAACAAGTATTTAATTGAAAAGCTTAAGTTTAAAAAGAAGAATGGAAAAAATAAAAATAAATTGTCAGCTGAAGAACTATCATTGCAGCTGGAACGACAGATGACTTATTACTGAGCAAGCAGGTCATCTCATTGCAACAGCATTCACTTAAACTCAGGGCTGTGGAGTCGGAGAGCTTTGGTGTTTTAGTCAGTTGTCAAAAAATCCGCCAACTCCAACTCCTTTTTACTTACCAACTTGCTATGTATATAAAATGGAAAAGTATTGGCATCATGTCAAATTTGACCCTCCAAGTTTTTTTTTTTTGCAAATCTACACGTTTGGAGACCTTCATAACCCCTCAAAAAAGTCAGTAAAGGGGAAAAATTTGCACGCATGTGTGTTGGCATCTAATTTGTTTAATTTCTTTATTTTCTGTTCTGAGATATTAAATAATATCTCAGAATGGGTAAAGTTTAAGAAATGAAATGTGGCACTGTAGCTTGCGTATAAAGGGGCATTAATACTATTAAATTTTGTTTTCTTAATTAAAGGTCGACAGGGTGAAGACATAAAAGTGGGTCAGCTGTCATATCTCAATGAATATTTTACTCGTTATTAGCATTCAAAATTAAAAAAATAAAACATCTCTACCCTCAAAGTAAGCTTTTTGTCATTTTATAATAGTACAGTGAAACCCATTAAGATGTTCTTGCCTAAGATATAAGAATGTGTATGGGGACATAGTTAAGTGTCAAAGTGGTTGAACTAAATCAACTCCTGTGTTAAACCATCTGACTCAGATTTAAAAAACCACAGAAATTATTAAACTTCAAACAGGGTGAACAAAATCATGCCCTCCCCACACACAGTAACATCCACATGTAAAGAAAAAATTTTGAATCTTTTGCATATCTTGAAATTTCAGTGTCCTGAGTCCAAAAATGTAAAAATTTGGGAGGGGTCTTTTTTTTGACCAAGCACTACACTTTTCCTCTTATATATAACAGCTGGAAAAGTAAAAATTATCAAATACATATTTATATATTGACTGTCATTACTTAGAGGAGTCTTTTAGCTTTGGAATAAAAAGTTTCTACTTTCCATCTTTATTAGAACTATATTTATTGAATCTTTTATTCCAAGTCATGTGATGACATCAAAATTTCCAGGCCTCTTTTGGTAACAAGTTCGCCCCTGGTTGAGTCAGATGGTAAGGAAAAGTCCACAATTATCCACAAGTAGCTGAAGTTCAGATAAGCCAAAATGGAAGTAGGCTAGAATCACACAAGTACTTAGTGCCTAGATATGAATTAATAGTGTTAGATGCAATTTAAAATCATATGAAATGTTTATTGTTAGATATATTAGTATAGATTCAATTACTCTAACAGCATGCATCAACAAACACCCAAAGCTTAGCAGTTTAGCTCTGATCTAGCTGCAGCTATAAGTAATAGTATTTCATACATAAAGCCTCTCATGCAGAGACGTGTAGAGATTTTGTTTCACCTTAACCCAAGTAAAAAAAAGTATTTAAATGTAAAAAAAAAGTAGTATTTAAATTTCTGTTGAATACATGAGATTTTATGGAAGATGTATTGACAATTTGATTGTTTTTAGCATCTACATTTGATTGAATCACAAAACATTAATTAGCAACATTAGCCTTACTTTTTCCATGCAAGACAGAATTTTAGCAGTTACATAAAGCCAAGCATAAGTAGTCGCTAGGATTAATCATAACATACAATAAACATATTAATCTTAAACTGGATTATTGTAAATGTACATAAAGAATTAAAAATAGTTACTGGAATAGGCTAATTCTTTATATATCAGGTCAGTCCATAAGTTCATGCATATTTTATGACCTTGAGAAAAATCTTGTTTTGCTGTTAAAAATGCCAGTCTAATGTGATACTTTTTACACTGAAGTGTTAAATTGGATCTCATTCATATAATATTGTTCAGAATTGGGAACATTTCAGTTGTTTATTTTCGTTAAAATGGAAGTAACAGACGAATATAAGAAACATGTTTTATACTTTTTATTTTTAAGTGATGAAAATGCTACAAATGCAGCCAAAAATTAAATACTGTTCATAATCAAACTGTAATTAGTTTAAGGACTGCGCAGAAGTGGTTTGAAAGATTTACAAATAATGATTTTAGTGTGGAGGATAAGGCTCATACTGGAAGACCTGTTGACTTTGATGATGATGCTCTCTCTGCACTAGTTGAAGCAGAACCATCTTTAACGGTTGATGAAATTGCAGAACGTTTAAATTCATCCCATGAAACTGTTCATAGACATCTACAACAAATCGGAAAAGTTTCAAAGCTAGGAAAATGGATACCACATGAACTGTCAATAGCTAACTGACAACAACGTCAACTCCTCAACTCAAAAGCTTCAACTGGGAAATTTTACCTCATCCACCATATTTGCCAGATATTGCTCCCAGTGATTATCATCTTTTTCGGAGTTTGCAGAATTTTTAAAAAGGAAAAACTTTTGAGGATGAGAACAATGTAAAAAAGGCTATTTCTGAATATTTTGATTCAAAACCGAAATCATTTTACAAAGACAGGATTAAAAAGCTACCATCAAGATGGCAAGAAATTGTACAAAATAATGGTGAATACATTATAGATTGAAATAAAATTTAATTAAAATTTTTTGTTGCTTTTTTTGTAGATAAAAATACGCATGAACTTATGGACTGACCTGATACATACAGTAAACAGTTTAATAAATTCATAAGGTTTACAATAATCAAACAAAGCTTTATTAATGAAGTTGTAATTCTATACAAACCTTAAATTTTATGCAAATATTTAATATTTACTTTTCCAATAGTTATTATTTATCTTTAACATTTATAAGTCTTTTTTGAAACAAGTTTCTTTTCAACTTAGACATTGAAAGTTTTAAATACAACTGTCAAAATAATTTTGTCATACAATATTGTTGGACATGCATTACAATACAATGTTGTAATGGATATCCAACATATTACAATGTCCAAAAAAGTGCAAGATTTCTAAGATTGCTTGACATTTTTCAATTTTTGCTTAAAGCCCATTTATCAAAGTTTAATAAAACTTAATTTCATTTTTATCAAAATCAGATCTTTAGAGCAAACATGTTTCTATGAACATATTTGTTAAAAAAATGTTCAATCCATAAAAATAAAAGTCAAGCTAAGATAGATAAACAAGCAAGCAAGCAAGCTTTGATTTAATGGTTAACATTGAAAATCAATGAAATATGGGTTATACAAATCAAACTAACCTGACCAAACTCATGTGTTAACATTACAGGATTAGTTCCAGTACCATTAGCACCAATAGGAGGAATATTCCATGCAGAAGATTGCTGATTCCAATCTTGCCCAGGGACAGAATTCCCCATAGAAAGGAAAGGATTAGTAGAAGGCAGTGATGCAACGGGTGGCTAGAAACAGAAATTTACATAATTCCTCAAATTCATTTATTTTTTCCTAGAGATTGTTATCCATAAATTAAATTATTATTTTTACTAAAAAAGTTGAAATAATTAACTTAATTTCAATAAACTCAAATCAATCATATTTAATAAAAATTTCAAATATAACAAAAAAGTCTGGAATTTTATAAATATTTTATATATTTGGAATTACTGGGGAAAACTCATTCTACACAGGCTGTTTTTTTTCAAGCTCCGATGGTAAAAAGAAAAAGTAAATAACAACATAATTGACATATCAATGTGAAGATTGAAGCATTTGTCATATCTGTGGACCAGCTTTTCCATCTCCTTGTCATAGAATGTTGCTGCCAGTGAATTGAGATGGTCTTAATGTTGTTTTGAAGATGATCATTAGTCTCAAACCTTCTAGCTATGATAAATTCATTTTATTTACATTTGTCTTTGTTTTATGGACCATTGGAGCTTGAAAAAACCACCCTCGTATTTGAGTCCAATCTATTTTTAAGCTTGAAACACCATGTAAATGTATTGAAGTAAACTTTTATATTTAAAAATTAATAGTTATTACAAGATGGTTCTTATAATGGCCACTAAATTTCTAAAGTTTAGTTTCTTGTACATTTTAAATTTCAAAGTAATTTCTCTGGAGATTCATCTATAAATGAAATATGTACTTTAAAGTTACTTATAGTTAAAGTTCCTTGATGAAATTATACATGTCAATTATATAACAGGAAATTTTGGACCAGTTTTTTTAATACATTTCAACAATTAAAGCATATAAACCTAATTCTTGTGTATGTAATTAAACAAATGTGGTGGGGGAAAAAACATTGTTTGCAAATTGATCAAGCAATTTATACTATATAATTAAAAATGTATTAAAATTATATACTATAAACAAACAGTTAATTTCAAGAAATATTTTGGAGACACTAACATTTGAAGATCAATATGAAATTTTTTTTTTTGAAAAAACTTAAAAATTCTATTACACTCATTTTCACAAGAAACTTAAAAAAAATCAGGACTATTTACAATCTCAGACATTTTAAATCCTCTCATATATTTGAAAAAACTTAAAATTTTAGTTTCTTGGATATTATGCCTTTGTCCACTTTGGACTTTCTTGTGAACAAGGACTTGTTTTACTGAGGGAAGAGAAACACAATTCCAAATTAAAACGTTAATTAATTTGAAATTGCTTGATTCTCTTCTCTTGGTATAACAAGTCCCGCATACATGTACGCTTTCTACTTTTAACCAATTGTGTAATTTGCCACTTTATTGTCAAATTGTTTTTCTATCTATTGTTTTACGATCATACCACCACCTCGTACACAGGTATTGCATATCCTGTATTCTGTATATTTTGTATTTTGTTCTCTCTTATTCTCATCAATAAATGTGTTGCTGACACTCATGATTCTACCCCTTCACCATCTATCCTATCTTTCTTTCCATTTCACCTTCATCCCTCTCCTAAACCTCTCTTTCCTTCCCATTTCACCCTTGAGCGTTACCACTGAGTAGTCGAGCTTTCACCCCCTTTCCAGTAATGATGTAACGGTATAACAAGTCCTAGTTTACAAGAAAGTCCAAAATGGACAAAGGCATAATATGTAAGGAACTAAGGATAAGAAGCATGTATCAAAATAAAATTTTTTCTTTTAACTCATTTTTAATTCATAATAAATTTTTAATAAATTTACAACACATGCAAAACACCTAAAAATCAACACTAAGGTGAATTTATTCTGTGCTTTTATTACAGCTTTAACAGTATTATGAATGACTTTAAACAAGTTATTTTTTTTTTCAGATGTTTACAAATAAAACAACACATTTTTTTGGTAGTTGAATTTTGTAGAGTTTGAGAAACAATTTGTAATAAAAAAAACATTAGTGGTTCTCAGAATCCACTTAAAATTCCAGGAAAGTCTTCCAAGTCCAAGAGAAATTGAAGGGGATATGTACAGTTCTCCATCCTTGAAAAACATTTTCTACCGATTAGAGATTCAGATACAAAATTTAAATATTGCATCATCTATGAATTTTAATGTGCTGTAAGAATGATTCTTTTTATTATGTTACATGAGGGTTCTGTCTTTCAAAATTTCAAATATTTAAATGATGAATGCAAGAATTTTCTAGAATGTTCTATTGACGAGTATTGAAATAATTCTCATTTTTCGCATTCTCAATTTACAAGATCATTTGTAAGTAACTAAAAACTAAGCACTATGATGGAAAAAATCATTTGTGGTCTTTAGGCAAAACTATTTGATTTTTAGTTTCTCCACTAAAGATTCTCATTAAAACTGTACACTTCAACTGGAAAGCATCTTACAATAATTCTAATTTTCAAATAAGGCCCATTTCCTTCTTTGAAGAAACAATCTTCAATTTAAAAATTATTATTAGGCAATATTACTTTATTTTGCAGACAGTTATAATACTTTATTTTTAAAACATTAACTAATGATGCAACTAATTTATTCTTTTAAGATATGATCTGAGGTTTTTTTGGAACCCTCCTTAAGTTGAAAAGCATTACAATGGTCTTCACCAGTAGATATCACATTAGGTTATACCATTGAAAAGTAAAAAAAATTACATTTGTATGAAGAAAAACATTCAATATTAAATTAATAAAATTACTTTCTTTGAAACAATATAAATCACTACTAAGTTGATAATCTTAAGTTATGCATATATTACTGTGAAAGAAAAACAGGTGAATGTTGAAACAAAGCTAGGTTCATAAAGACATTAAAACAAACTATATAAGTAAAGCGAGGTGATAAACTCAACAGAGTTTTTAAACTGCAATAAAACATCCAAAACATATTACATAAAAACATTAAATCTAGGCATAAAGCAGCACGAACAAAAACTTCTTCTAGACATAATTAAGGGAAAAAAGAAAACCACAACATTCAGTTACAATACATATCAAAACAAGGAAATACTAATACTAAAATAAGGATTAAACAGATACTGACAAGTTACCCGTCAGTAAAATTACAATACATTGTAAATCTTGTATAAACCAATAAAGTCAATCAGAATTTTAAATAAAAACCAGATACAGGTTGACCACCACTAATCCAGCATCATTGGGATTTGTAAGGTGCTAGATAAGTGGTTTTACTGAATTACTTATGGTTAGGTTAGAAAATATCTAACCCAACAGCTATTTATCTAATTCTATCTTTAAAATACTCTGCAAATCAATATAAGTTGATTAACAACAACATTACAAACATTAAATGAAAGTTCTTGTCAAATCATCATACATCTGGCAATGTCAAGCACCCTCAAACAGTAGTAGCAAGTTTGAATTGCAACATGAAAAATGGAAATTACACTAATCCAGCACTAATTTTGGGTAGTGATGGTTAACCTGTATTCCAATGGAATTTTAAAAACTGCTAATGTTTCCAGATGCTTTCATGCAAACCCATAGATCACATGCCTAGCAAAATGAGTGCAAATTCAAAAACAGAATTTCGATATAAATTTGGAAAAGCCCACAAGCTCTAACTTTTTGATAAAATTAGTCCAAGATGTATTTTACATTTCTCAACATATTGATATAGCTATTCTATTTAGCTTCTAAATTTTGTGATTTTAAATTAATCTTAAAGTGTAGCCATTGTATCAATCACAACATAAGATAAGTTTAACTTTTAGCACTTCTAAAAACAGCAAATTTATGAAATTTCATAAATTTCAGATTTTAATTGCTATTAAAATAATATTAAGAAAAATAAAAATATTATATGAATTAATGATCAAAAATGAAAAAGTTGCTAATTAAATTTTTGCAACAATCAGAGGTTCCTTAGATGAATTACATCAGAAAGGATCAGAATTTTTAATCCACATCATGTGCTGCATTATGTTTTTAATTAAAATGTATTAACTTTCATACCTGCAAAACTGTATTCTGCTGCATTCCTAGTATGCCATTAGGCATATTAGCCATTGGTGCAGAAACTCCAGCTACAAAAGGTGTATTTTGAACATAGACTTGTTGATTTACGTACATTCCACCTAAATATAAAATTAAATGTTTATATAGTAAATTATATAAACAATCATCAGTGTAAATTTTATATGGAAATAATCAGTAATTACTGGTCTCACACCTTAAATTGTTAAAAGTATTGAGTAAAAATATTTTAAGTTTTGTAAATAATTGGAAAAAAATGTATTATTGTTTACACACAACATTTTAAAAAAATCATTACAGAAAAGTTTAAAAAATTATTTTATACAATTGAATCTGATTAATTTGAAAAGGATAAATCTTATTATTCACCTTTAAATCTGTACTTAAATTAGCACTATGAAACAATATCATTTTTTTTTTTAAGTACAGGTGGGACATTATTAGTATGTCTCATTAGATATACACACACACACAAAATTAGCTTATCATGTCCAACAAAAAATACAATTATTTAAAGTCAAGATATATTAATACTATACATAAGATGTAATGGATGAAACCATCTTATTTTTACCAGAGGCAAAATCTCCCATTAGGCTCACTAAGTCTGGGACTAGGGGTGCAAAAATTAAAATAATGCTGAAATAATTTCACAGTTGACCCCCCTCTATAACACAGTTGATAATTCCGTTTTATATGAATTCCATGTTGTATGAGTCACTTTTAGATTTTACAAATACGTGAGCCGTTCACAGCCAGGCACACACATTTGTAAAATCTAAGTGACTCATAACATGGAATTCATATAAAATGGAATTATCAACAGTGTTATAGGGGATTGACAGTATTTAGAACAATCAATTCAAAGAAATTAGTGTAAATTAAAAGTTTAAGTAGAAACAAAATAAGACATCAGTTGAGTAATATTGATTTTTTCATGAATATCATACTACTACTGATGGTTTTTCAATGTCAGTATCTTTGGCCCTTTCAATATTTAAAAATTATAAATATACAATTATTGCAGAATTAAAATTATAACAATCATTCAGTGCAAAGGTCACACTTAGTTTGGGAGACAACTGCATATTGTGGGCCTAAGGGCACTATATTATAAATATGCCAATAACGTTTTATTTTTTTTTAGATTGAGCATTTTTATTCTATTTATTCTTATTTTATTGAATAGTATGTCCAGGCAATTTATCTTAGTAATTAAAAGTAATGACTTTTCACAAATATTGTCTGTCTTCAAACATATCTAATGTTCACTGACATCTGCTGTAAAAGCTTTAACAACTTACAAATTTTGTATATTTTCTTTCTCTTGACATCATTTCTTGAACACAAAGAAACTTAGAAAATTTTTATTAACTGCTGTTTCTTCTGCTTCTCACCCACACAATTTAGAATGATGCAGATATTTTAATTATGTCAGAATGGTCTTCAAAATGCTGTAGTATTTATATTTGGAACTAGCATTACTTTTCAAGATGGATTCAGGATCTAAAAATACATGTTTACAGGGGTGCCACAGAGCTTTTACACAAAGCTGCAAGTAATGAAAATTTAATTTTTAAATTTATTTAAAAGTATATAAAGATGTTTCATATACTTATTTAGTTTATGTATGCAAGGCCACAAATTTTGTACATTTTAAATGTTAATTCTAAAAAAATGAAATTATCAGCTTAACATGTTATAGAAAAAAAGAATCTTCTTTCTTAAATACTTAGACTTTAGTGAATAGCAAGCTCATCCATAACAAGTAATAAAATATTAATTCACTATAGTTTTATATACAGTAAGACACTATTTAACTAGCACTGTACTTTCCTTCAATCTGTCTGTTTGGAGTAATTTTGGAAAAAATGTAACATCGTGGATGCCATAGGCAATAATCGACTTCACTTGGCAAGAACTAACTGAGAAACGCATGAACGAAGTGTAGAAGAAATTATGGCTGAAGGTATCCATGAATTCTCAACGAGAAGAGCACATCACTGTATCGTTATGTTGACAATTTGGTCAACCTAACCGATGCAGTAGGACTAGGAGATGTAGACAAGCAAGATATTGAGGAGTTACTGCAAGTTTCTGATGAGAGCCTTACAAACAATAATTTTCAAGAACCAGCAGAACAAGGAATTCATGTAGAACTGGAAAATAGAGATTCTGAAAACAAAGAACCCAAAGAATTTCTCTACAGATTTCCTTAGTAAAAGTTTGGTAATGATAACCAAAATCATTGATCAAACTGTAGCAAATGATCCAGATTTTGAAAGGAGTGCAAAAGCAAGACAAGGCATTCTGGATGCAATCTCCTGCTACCAACATTTGCTTAAGGAAAGAAAAAAGTGACAAATGAAACTATACAACTATCGCAAAAATCAAAAATTTCAGAAGAGCCAGGACTTTCATCACAAAAAACAAAACTTTACATTTCTGTGTGCATATTTTTGTGCGTTATTTAACATATTTTTTATATTATGTTAATTTGCATAACAATATATAACTTAAAATTAAAATAAAATCTGTTTATTTTTGCTCACATGTTCTCCTTTCCCTATTTACTCTGTTAAAATGACCCCATTTAACATGGTTTCATTTATTGCTTTGTCATCTAGGAACCTATCCCCCACATTAAGCAGGGTCTTACTGTACACTGTTTCCTCTAAGCTGCAAGCCTAGTAGAAGGAACAAAAACTTTCAGAAGAGGTGTAACAAGAGAGTTTTTTAAGTCTGTAATTAAAAAAAAAAATCAGTAAATGGATAGATTAACTTGAAAGATCAACACTGACTTGACTGATCTTTCTGAAGACAACTCAAAAATATAGCAAAACTTTATGGTGACAATGGATTATTGAAAACACTGTCAGATATTGGTTTATTCCATTCAGGCCTGGAAACTATAGCATGAAAGACAAGCTGTACTCTAGATGACTGCAGGAGATTGATGACGTGGTGAGGCAGCAGGTTGGAGATGCCTGGATCATATAGACAGGCCTCTGAGTGAATTTTTCAGAGTTAAAATACAGAAACAGTGAGTGCAATAGTGACAAAACAAAGTGAAAACATGGAAGGAAAACTCAATAAAATAGCAGTAAAAGTTGATTTTTTTTCTTTTTATTCTGTTATGGTTAAACACATTTCAAATATTTCTGTATATATTAATACAGTAGACACTTGTTATATTGCAAATTCGGATATATCACGCTTTTTTGGTCCTCCAAATTTTAAAAGTACTTGCATCAATAAATTTTAAATTACCAATTGCTACTGAATTTCTATTTGCAACGAAAAAGTATTTTATTTCTACAATTGTCCTTGAAACTATCACTGAAAGTGAAATAATAAATTTGTCAAGATCTAATATGTAAAACAGGTGGACATATCAAAAGGAAACAAATGACAATTGATATTAAATATTGTTTATTAGTTTTAAGTACCATGTCCTCATTTACAAGTTTCTGTGAATTCAAAATTTCAAACCTTTATGTGAATTAATGTGTAAAGAAAAGATTTCTTTAATTTGGAACAAAAAGTTTTTATACAGTAGTAACTATTTTGCTTTTTAGAGAATTTTTACTCTTTGTAATTTTATAAGTTTTGATGGTTCTGTTACATATTTATTTTTAAAAATTTTCAATTACAGCATATATAATTTTTATTGAGAAACATAAAATACACAAATTTTTATTAAGCAATTTATTGTAAAATATAGTACTGTATAATAAAATCTTAACTGATATTTTGTTTTTATATATGGACAGTATTTGTCTTTAAATGTCATTGTTAAAGAAACAATGCTAAATGGTGGGATCGATGTTTATGAACGTCAAGTAAGATAAGATAACCAAGAATAAAGTTCAGTATTGAAAAACAGCTTATTTTATATCAAAACACTTGCTGATGAAAGAATAGAGGATAGAGATTGCATAGCATGTATAATCTGTTTAGTATAAGCCCAGAATTTTTAGTACTTGGTTATATTGTGCTTTTTCTTTGTCTCCCAACAAGCGTGGCATAAGAAGCTACTGTATGTCCAGAAAACCATAAATACTTAAAAAGTCTTTGGCATCTGTAAATAATCAGTAATGAAAAATGATGTTCTTTCATTCTGATTATTCTGGATGTTTTCAACTTCCTTCTTTTTTTGGTTCCTCTTGCTTTTGAACACTTGACAGTAACAAGCATTACATGTGCTGCTCGTACTTCTTTCATGTTCTTGCTGTTAATGGCCGCCTCTAGTTTTTTTTTGTTTGCTGCTTTTAACAAAACTTGGCCTGTCTCACATATTTCACTTTCTTGTGGTTTAAAGCACCCTTTCTGACATTGATGATCTATCAGGAGGAAGTGCCCGGCGTGAAATTAAAATCCCTGTTCAACATCAGCATTGCCATGAGGGGGGGGGTCAATGCTGATTTCATTAATTTGACTACACTGGGACATCTATCATAATCAGAAACTGTTTATTTTTTAATGCTTTGAGACAAGTAAATATTGATTTCAAAATAAATTAATAAATCTGAAACAAACAGATTTCAAGTAGTATAAGTAAAATACACAAGAAACTTTTTCCTGCGGATTAATAAAAAGCAACATTGTTACAATGTTGTTAACCTTTTGGGAAGCACGTGAAAATTTTTCCTGCAATCACATTTTACAACACTTAAAATTTACCAAATAAATTAAAAGATTTTATGTTTAAATATGAATTTACATTTTCATTTACTTTTTTAGTCTCAATGGATACTTATAACACTTATGCACACAGTTGGCATAAGAGGAGATTAAAAAATGGATATTTCACACATTATGAAAATACTTACTACATGGAATAATTATAATTGTAGTCAATTTAAACACAAATTTAGGAATATATAGATGTGATTGAACATTAATATGCTATGAAATCATTAAAGTACATTTATTCTATTTAACTCATGTTTATGAAATTATTTAAAGATAAATAAAGTAAAAAAAATATTCTTGTAAACGACAACTCCATAACCCAATTGTTAATTAAAACCAAATGATCTGCCAAATTATTGGGCTATAATGAATTGAATGATCAGAAACGAAATATTTTGTCTAGAGGTTATGCCACTATCTCGTGTTAATTTTAATAATTATATATTTTAAATTTAGAAGCGGCAGCAGTGTTGTCAGCTTGAGAGATTAATCCCTCAGCATAGTGTGTTTTCCCCTACAATGGAGATTGTGATTTTCTTAGAAAACAGCCAAAAATGTAGAGATGCTTAAAATACTTATTTTTAATCCCCATAGATAGAAATGCAACTCTGAAGAACTAGATTTTGGCAAATAATGACAATATGGCACGAGTACATAACCTTACTCAATATTGGCTTCTGAATTTGTAATGAGAGTGTTTTTTTAAGTGCATGAAAAAATTTTTAACATATATGAAAGGAATTTTTGTTTCCTATAACCTAACAACACTAAGCAGAAGTTCAGGTTTTGAGTCCCGCTCAGGGAAGAGTATTTTTTTTCCAGAAAATTCTAGTCAGAAAGTCCAATAATTTGGCAGATCGTTTGGCTTTAAAATTATTTTTAATTGGCCCTATATCTTAATTAAACACATGGAAATGACCAAAAAGTGAGTGACTCCGAGGCCTGTATAAACAACTAAATAAAGTCCAATTCAGAAGCTAATGATTTGCTTGTGGCTACTGCATTGAAGTGGTTAAGCATCAAGTAGCCAAAAAGTCACAGAACTATACAGAACAAAACTTTTGAAGTACAGATTTGGAACAACAAATTGAATAGAACAAAATTTTTATGTAAATTTCTTTTTTTGTTTTTTTTTTAAATGTTTAAAAAAATGTTTTCAAAAAATTTCATGTTAAAATTTATATTATTATTTGATTTATGTTGTTCCAGAACTATACAGTGCTGTATTATAATCCTATTAAATGTTTAACGTGGATCTCTGTAAACTGTTTCAAAACTGAAGCTCAATTCTGTTTAAAATGCTTTCAATAAATTGAATTTAGGAATGTGGGTTTATTGGTCTCACAAAACAGGGATGTCATTTTAGGATGCTTCTATTTTGGCCATCTTGCTTAAGTGGCCACAGAATAGAGTTGATTTACATTGAAAACATATGCAGTTTTACAGGAGCATTTCATGGATGGCCATATAAGTGAGGTTTTACTGTAAATGCAAAATTCCATATATTTCAAATCTGTTCAAAGATCTGAATTCAAGCTTAATCATTTTATTGCAAATTTTGCTAGAAATTAAAACAAATTTCTAGCAAAATTTGTTTAAATTCAATTTCAAATTATTAAAACTGGAAAACAAATCTTAACCATCTTTTATTCCAGCACTGAACTTTTTCTTCAGCTAATATTTTTGGGTTTATTCAATGAGGTGATATATTAAAAAAGACTGATAGCATTTCCAATGCATTAAACTTGAAGAAGATAGCCACAGTGTAGATTCCTACATCAATGATAATTTGAAATACGTAACTGATTTTGAAGAACTAGAACATTGCATCAAATTTGTAGGTTCAAATTCAGAAGCCTGAATAATTTAAACCAGAATTGCTAGCTGAAAGGAAAGTTCAATGCTGGAATAAAAGGTAAGATTTAAATTTTAATAACTAGTTTATATTGACACCAAAACTTTAAATTTTCAAAAATCTTTCAAATTTAATAAAATATTAGAGCATAATCTATAGAAAGCTTAAAATAACCATTCAAGATTTTCAAATCACATACCTGGTACACCAAAAACAGATTGTTGATTTTGAGCATTACCAGAACCATAAAGAGAAAGAATTGATTCTTTACTCATCACAGCTTTTTTAGGAGTTTCTGATGTAGATATTTGATTAAAAAAATCAGTTTCTTCAGATTTTTTCACATCCGATGATTTAGCTAATGATGATGAAGTTGCAGAATTTGAACTTGTAGAAGGAGTTGCACTCAAAAAAGCATCAAATAAATCATCAGAATTCTGACTGGATGGAGCATCTAAAAACAGGAAAAAAATTAAATCAAAAATCATGTCAGTTTAAAAGAATAAGTATCACTTAGCTTACCCAAACCTAATAAATCCAATGCAGATTGGGGTGTTTCATTTACTGGAGATACTTTCTTTTCTCCGTTATCAAAAGTTTTTGATGGTGTAGTAGCCACAGGATGAGGTCTTGGCAAAGCAGATGGCTGAATTGTCTAAAAATTAATTAAAAATTGCACTATAATATGAAAATGCTTATTAAAAAAACTTTCATAAAATTACTTGAATAAGAAATTGAATAAAATATAAAATTGTCCAATTATAAAATATTTTTAATAAGAAAAAAAAATCTATCAGAAACTTATTTAAAACAAAAACAAGTTAATTCTTTGTCCAATGCCAAGCAAACTGTTCAAAACAACACATTTAGAAATTTAAAAGAATTCAGCAATCAATCAGTTCAATAGAAAACAAGTAAAATATTTACTTCCACTTTTCTAATCATTTCCTTTAAATGCCAAACGTGCCAATATTTGACAACTCCCCAGTTTTATGCTAAAATGCCCAATATATGTGATATCAGCTCATGGAAATTCTAGGAAATGCCATAATTCCAGGAAGAGCATGCTGACTGTTGAAAGTTCTAGGACTGATTTACATATTTTCTACTAGATGGCATCGTTTCCTTATATTTCTAGGACCAATTTTAATGAAAAACATTTTTGACTTGATAAGCCTTTCTAAAATTCACTGTTACAGAGCAAAATTAAAACAATTTGTTTTAGAATAATGTATTTTAGCTTATCAAGCAAGTCCAAAACATTTGTTCCATTATAATTTTTGAGCTGGAAATGTATAAGGCATGTCTAGTGTTCTCATTTTGTGAACATTTTGGAACAAAAATTTCAAATTATATATTTAATAAAAAAATTAAAATTACCGGTATTTCAACTGTAGCACCTTTTGTTCGAGATCGTTTTTTCTCTTTCTCCTTTTTACGATCTTCTTCAATATCAAACTAAAAACAAAACACTCAATTATGTAAACAGGATATTAGAAGCACCACATACTAAATATGATACTAAAAGTTTCACTTTACATACTACTTAAAAAATAATTTGTTATAGAAAAATTATATAATGAAGCTTACAGTAATTTAAACTAATAAACTAAGTTTCATACCATTTATCATTTAAATCAGGTGTTTCTCAACGGGGCGATATCGCCCCCATGTGGGTTTTTTTCCATGTTGCGGAGGCAATTAGTAACAATTTATATTTTGGGGGCAAAAAACGATTTTCTGGGCGATATAGTAAAACATATTCAGAATAATTAGATATTTTATTCGTTATATCGTATAATAATTAAACAAATAATATTATAATAGTCACTAGTCCATTCAATGAAGTACGAATTTGGCGTTAGCCTTGGCCCTCAGCATTGGAATTTTGAAGTGAAGGGGGTGATACTATGTAACGGTTTTATTGAAGGGGTGATACTACGTTGAAGGGGGGTGACGATTCATTAGAGGGTGAGAAACACTAATTAAAATGTATGTTGCTAAAAATAGAAATTACTATGTAAAAACAGACAAAAACTTCACTAGTATTCAAATTTTCGGAAAAAACTTTGAATTGTTAATCAGAGAAAGCTCTCTCTACAAGTTTAATGCAAACAGCTTCAAGAAAAAACAAACCAACAGGTTTAGTTGAAGGACTAAATGAAGTTCTAGTAACTTTCAATCAAACATTAATTAATCAGTGCAGTAATGGTTGATTGTATTATTTAAATGGCACAAAACAAGGTCTCCAGCTAAACTGTCAATGAAACTTTAACTTAAAACAAGTACAAAATCCAAGGCAAGGAAATAAGATCCATTAGTATATATGGCCAGCTAAAACAATATCCAGCAATGAGTTGCATAACTTTCCTGGCAACATTTAAAATTTGTGATGGTGCTATCTGTTACGATATTTTATTATTAAAAACTTTTTACATTTTTAATCATAACAAAATAATTTTGAGGAGAGAGAGGAGTTTTATAAAAAAATTGTAATGTTAATAATGAGTAAAATTGTCATTAAGTCCAACCCTACTTGATGTGAGATAAACAATCCCCCTTTATCTCTCCCACCCCACTGAATTTTAACTGCAAGAATTTAATAGCATTCTAGAATGCTATTAAATTGCCACACAAGTGGCAAAAATGCCACACAAGCAGCAAACAAGATATGCACTGTTTATGAAGCTATATACAGCAAAAGGTGCTGTAGCTGAAAGAACTGTGCAGAAATGGTTTGCTAGGTTTAAAGCTGGTGATTTCAACCTTAAAGATCAAGAATGCCTGGGTAGGCCCTCCACCACAAATGAAGATTAAAACACTGATCGAGAATAACCCACATTATACAACACGTACATTAGTAGAAATGTTAAATATATCAAAATCCACCATCCACGAGCATTTTGTGAAGCTTGGCTACATAAACCATTTTGATGAATGGGTTCCCCACAATTTAACGGAGAAAAAGCTGATGGATCGCATTTCCATTTGCAACTTGCTCTATAAACACAACGAGGAGACACCATTTTTGAAGTAAGTAGTGACGGGGGATGAATAATGGATCATTTATAATAATGTTGAATGAAAAAGATCTTGGAGAAAGCAAAATGAACCACCTTTAGCCAACCTAAAAGTCAAGTCTTCATCCAAAGATGATCATGCTCTGTGTCTGGTGGGATTGGAAAGGGATCCTGTATTATGAGCTTTTACCAAACAATGAGACGATAAATTCAGAGAAGTATTGTTCCCAATTAGATGAATTAAAGACAGCAATTGAACAAAAACGTCCAGAAATAGCGAATCAGAAAGGCATTGTGTTTCATCAGGACAATGCACTGCCTCATGTGTGTTTAATAACTCAACAAAAGTTGTTGAATCTCAGTTGGGATGTTCTACCCCATCCAGCATATTCAGACCTCGCGCCCTCTGATTTCCGCCTATTTTGATCATTACAAAATTCCCTTAATGGAAAAAACTTCAACTCTTTGGTTGAGATAAAAATCATGTAGAAAAGTTTTTCGCCAAAAAACCTGAGAGATTCTGGAAGGACGGGATTTTCAAGTTGCCTGAAAGATAGAGAAAGGTTGTAGAACAGAATGGCACCTATATAATTTAATAAGTGTGTACTAAAACTTAAATCTGCATTTCAAGTTTCCTTCAAAAATTGGCACAAACTTTCTGGACAACCCAATAAATGTACAGGATGAAAACAACATAACACAAGAGGATAAGATCCTGAACAGATGGTGAGAATAATTCAAAAATCTGTTGAGCACCATAAAAGAAAGCCAAGACACACAAAGGACACAGGAGACAGATGATGTAAACAGACCAGTAGAAGAACTATCAGTCAACAAAGTAGAGCTTAGTATATCCAAATTGAAGAACTACAAGGTGCCAGGAAGTGATGGTATACCTATCAAGCTATTACTAAATATTTGGAATAATGAGGAGCTTCCAGGCAAATGGAAAGAAAGTATCATTTGCCCCCATCAACAACAACAAAAAGGAAGTAAAGAGCTATATTAGTAACTACAGGGAAATATCATTACTTAATACAAAATACTGTTAATGCTTCTCCTCAAACAGCTAACATCTTATACAGAAAATGTCTTAGTGAACTATCAATGTGGGTTTAGACAGAATTGATCAACCACTGGCCAGATATTTATCCTAAGACAGTTGCTGGAAAAGAAGTATGAATACAAGCAACACCAACTTCACTAAAGCATATGACAGTGTCAATACAACGAACTGTAGCAAATAATGGCTGAATTTGGAATACCCAAGAAATTAATAAAAATGACAAGCATATATATAGGAAAAAATCAATCAGCAGTGTCAGGACTGGAAACAGAACCCTTTGAGATAACTACATGACTTGGGGAGAGTGTCCTTTCCTATATTGTTTAATCTAACACTTGAAAGTTATTTGCAGATTCCAGCAAAGTAACAAAGGAGTAGAACTGAATGGTCTCCATAAAGCATTGGCATATGCAAATGATGTTTGGCTGATAAGTGCAACTCTCACAGACCTAATTGAAAAAGCACCACTGTTACTCTAAGAAGAGAGGATAAGACTGAAACTTAATGAATCAAAAAGTATCTGCTACTATCAAGAGTACATCACAGTGAGGGCACTGACAACATTAAGTTGGCGAAGTACACATTTGAGAGGGTCAACAACTTCACTTACCTTAGATCCATGGTGGACAATAACAACCCCATCACAACAGAAATTTACTTAAGGCTCCATAAGGCTAATGCATCTAATTATAGCTTGCAAAAAGTACTAATCTAAATAAGCTTCTATAAAGGTCAAGTTGAGATTGTAAGACACCATTATCTGAACAGTGCTGCTCTATGGCTGTAAAACATGGGCCCATACATAAACACTCACAATTTGTGTTCAGTGACTGAGTGTTTGAAAACAAAGTCCTCAGAAAGATCTTTGGACCCATGCAGAATAGTATAATTGGCACTTAAAGATGCACAGTGAGGAACTACATTGTATGATGTCATAGTTGTCAACTTTGCAAACTATCATACATACCTTCACTGACACAAAATGCTGACCAGGGAGCTTGAGGGTAAACAACCTATTGGACACCTTCCAGTGCAATGAAAAGAGGGACTGGAGAGGGATCTATAAAGAATGGGTAGTATACCATTCTTTGGGTAGTACTACCTAGGTGGATGCAAAAGGCACAAGACAGGGAAAAATGGAAAAAGATTGTTGAGATTGTTGCAGTGGTTAAAGGCCCAAGAGGCTCAAATAACCATTGAATGAAAACGGAGAATAAAAAAGTTCAACATTGTGTGAATTTATCATGTGATCAAAGGGAAAATGCTAGAAAATGTGTAGTTTTGGGTGAGGATGCTATAAAAAGAAAATATGGCTCAATATTGGTTGAAGAAATTCAGAAATGGGAAATGGAGATGTTAAAGATAAATCTTTGGCAGGAAGACCAACTATTAACAAGGACATGCTGACAGTTGCAATTGAAAATAATCCTAGGATAACAAAGGTCTTCATGCTCTAGTACAAAGTCCAAAAGTCAACAGTTCAAGAATTAAAAACAAATTATGATATGTAAAAAAAAAAAAAAAAAGAAAAATCACTTAAAGTTGAAACAAGGTTGGTAAACCTTACAAACCACCCAAAGCAAATTTTTATCAAAAGACAATGATTTCTGGTGAGATTGTAGGGAATTATCCATTATAAACTATTGGGAGTCAATGAACAAGTGTAACAATAGCAACAGTACTACAAAAAGCTTAGGTATCTAGGGGAAAAAACTATTGCTCAAAAAAGGGCCTGTAATAAGAAACAGAGGAGGAAATTATATTTCACCAAGACAATGTATGTCCTCGTATGGCATTTACCACCTGGAGATTAACATTCAAAATGTGAACCAATAGACATTCCATCATATTCATGTGATTTTGCTACCTCTGATTTCCATTTGTTTTAGTCTTTACAAAACTATGAAAAAGGAAAACTTTCCAGAACCAAGTAAATGTAAAAAGGCACTTTGAAGGATTCTTTGATGGTCTGGATCCATATTTCTAACACAGTGATATTCATAAATTAAAAGGAGGATGGCAAAAAGGTACTTGATAATGATAAATACATCATTAAAATAAAGCAGTTAACAAAATATAGCATTCTAAAGTTCAATAAAAAACCTAGAAAACTTTCTGGACAACTCAATAATTAAATTATACATTAAATTGAACAATTATCCAAAACATCTTAACTAAAAAAATTAAGTGAAATTAATTTGTCAGATTATCCATTTTTCAAACTATTATATATTACTTAACTTATATGCTGATGATAATATAAGCTTATAAAAACTCACTTTTTATATGCTTCTATACATTAAAAATTCTAGAACACTACATATAAATTTACAGATCTGATAAAAGTGGGTCAAAAATTACTTACGGCAGGTTTAGGCATTGGTGGTGGCACCCATTCTTTAGCAATATACTTTTTCTGTTCATACTTGGCCCTAATAAAAGCTTCTAAAGATCTTTCATAAATTAAGGAATTAATGTTCTTTAAGTTAAAAATTTAATATAAATATTTACACAGTAACCTTATTAGTTCCTATGTATAATCTAATTACACATCTTATATCTAAAATTAGTTCATGATATCTAACATTGGTAGCATGTACATTTCTGCAGCAACCATAGTTGACTACTGTTTAAGAGAAATGAATTCAAATTTGCAATTTTCAGCCAACCAGGCAACTGCAAATTATTATGAGTTATATGAATGGGTCGTACAATTGAAACAGAGGCAGCACAATTAGAAAGAGCAATAAGATTATCACAGTGATTGACATCATCTGATTAGGAAAAGAACCAAACAGATTCATCCTTTACATCTTCAACAAAAAGCAATTCTAATCTTAATAAAATCAATTCTACAGGCATTCATAATTATGAATCAACTCTACAAATTGCAAATTACTTCAGTGCTCCAATTTTCTGCAGTTTTAAATATTCATGATGACAAACATCAAAAATAGGGTCTCTCTGAGGATATATGTCCTACATGGCAGCATCCAGCAACCACAGACATGAACGTGCTTCTAAGCAGAACAGACAAACTGATTCAAGCAAATGTGTGTGTCTGGAGTAACCATGTTTAGCATGCAGCGACCACCAGATGACATTTCTACACACGCATGCAGGAAGCAGCTACCAAGCAAGTTTGATTGCCGCTTCCATTACTTGCACTTCCAAAGAAGAAAATGGCTGATTTTCTAGATAAATTTTTCGTACAGAAATGATAAATAAAATTGTGTATCTATGTCGTATGTATTTTAATTAATAATCTTTTACATAATTTAATAATTTCTGATTTTGTATAAATAAAAAGTTTTATTTTTAAAACATTACAACTTATTCTATAAAGATTCTTTATACTTGTTGCGTATCTAGTTAGTGATAACATTTACCTTTCAAATTTACCATTTTAATGCTTGTCATATTTTCCATAGTAGCATTTGACGAAGTCTTCTTGCAGCCATCTTGTAAACAACACACATCAACTCTAAACAGAAGTCATGAGTTAGAAGTGCGTACAAAAGATTCTTTCTGCCTGTGGTCTCCAAATCAAGCATACTAGACAGCAAAAGATTCTTTCTGCCTGGATGCTGCCACATAGGACGTAGCCTAACAATCCTGGGAGTTTTTTAATCCAGGAAATATCCCAGAAAATTCTTAAAAGTTTACTTTTTCCTTATTTTGTGTTACGGTTGAGAAAATTTTGCAAATAGAAAGTATAATTAACTCAAACTGTCAGAATACATTTGTATTTATTAATTTTAAGCCTCTTATTAGTTTAAATTTTTACTTGTTATGGCATGTCACAGATTGTTAATAATTAATATGTAGCTTATTTATGGCAGGAGTGAAAATTCTTTACTTGTCAGAACCTGTAATATCTTGAATAATTGCAATTATGCTGTCTTAATTTTTAATTCTGCCCAGTAGCTTCAATAACTGCATTATGTCAGGTTGTGCAAATTGGGCAAGGATAAAAAAGTGTATTCAAGTATGAAAGTTTCTTCATAAACCTGATTAATAAAGGCAAACAAAATGTTGAATTATTGGGCTATAAGTTTGATGCTGCTATTAAAGCAACCAAGATAAACAAAATCAAGCATACTAGACAGCAAAAGAAGTACTGCAATGCATTTCTAAAATAAACTAGAAATCTTTGCGGCTACAGGTGAAAAAACACAACATTATCTTTTCTTAAATGCATTAAAAATGATGCCACCAACATCAATTGAATCAGAGAGAGCATTCCAGTAACAGGAGTATTACTAAAATAAGAATCAGATTGAGTGATCAGAGTAGCGACCATCTTTGCTTTTTAAAATCTTATGAAAATTTACAATAATATTTTGTATTATGTTTTATTTAAAAAGATGAAAATTACCTTCTAAGTTAGAAGTTTGATCTAAGTTTATTTTTTATTTTAAATTTTCAACTCAATTCAAAAGGCTTTCTTTTTGTTATCAGCAGTTTCCAAACAACTTAAAATTTTTTCTATTTGTGAAAATTTCTACATAATTCAAAGGTAATTTTTAATACATATTTTACACAGCATTATTAATAATATTTTGGAGGTTGCAAAAGTATTAAATTACTTATAAAAAATAAAATACAGGTAACCCCCGTATAACACGGCACTTCTATAGCACGGATTCACTCTGACTCGGTTCGAGAATTGGGTAAAACTCTCGTACAACAGGAAATGTAATAAATTTTTACACACTTAACTAATAATAGTTCACGAAAATTATTATTTTCGTGAACTATTAGTACATTTAAGTACGTAAATTTTCTCTTTTCGCCTTCTGTCGATACAGGTGGTCTTTCTCGAAACTTGTTTCAATATTGCCAGATCGCGACGCTTCTGCTTCTGATGTTGTTGAATGTTCCCTTATTCCATACTTGCTTTATTCTTCATAAGTGCTTAGCACCATATCAGGAAATTTATAAAGACCTTTTAACTAGAAGCAAGCAATCTAAAATTACATACATTTTGCAAAAGTAAAGCATGGATCTGAAGATAATGCAGAAAAATGCTCAGAGGATAAGGATAACTTGCCAGAAAGAAAAACGCTCTCGGTTAATTAATAGTGTTTTTAGTGATGACGAAGAAAATATTGTTTAATTTATATTAATATGTATCACTTAAAAAATTTTTAATGAATATATTTATCTTAATTATGAAAATATAGTAGCATGTTTTTTAATTTTTGGAACCTAATCCTCCTTTTCGTATTAGTTCTTTGTTTCGTATTACACGGATTCGCATAACACGGCAATTTTTTGGAACGTAACTACCGTGTTATACGGGGGTTACCTGTATATAATTATATCGTTCAATTTCAAGAATTACTTTATATCTTAAAAATAATTATCCCAGGATTTCAGGAAACATCATTTTTTCCTTCTAAATCCCAGGACAAGCAAAGGACTGGGAAATGAGAAACTCTGATCAAAACATTTGTTCATTGACTGTGTACTTGCCAATGAACAAATATTGAGAACAAGCTTTTTGGTTTTGGTCATGGTTACTCTCAAAACTCAGAGGAAGTTTGCTTGTTAATGGGAATAGCTCTATAGTTGCCTGAATGACTGAAAATTGCAAAGTGTGATCATCATTTTAATTGTTATGGTAAATTATTAGATTCATGTTAAAAATCTATAAACAAATTTTTGAGTTTCAATTCACTAGCATTCAAAAAATATAGCATCAAAAGTAATTTGAATTTAAGTCAAGCTTAAAATTGATGAATTCCACTTCTATCATTTTTGACAATTTATACTTATATACAATTGTCACCATTTGAGACAGTCCATTAGCAGAGCCATTTCTATATGGCTAATAGAATTGAGTTTGTTCTTAAAATTTAATTAATTGATTTTGATTAATCTGTCATTTTACATAATGAGAGACAAGAAAATTAAAAAAATAATAAAAATTGTGGTTCTACAATTTTTATTACATTTTTTGTACAAGTTCTAGCACCCTTTTATCTCAAACCAGTGCATGCAATTTTTTTTTAAATCTTTTCTTCTATGCTAGTGAGTGCTGTTACTGATATGTTAGCAACAAGTGATTGTCATAGATGACATCCCAAAACATTATTATTGGCTTGCTAGCACTGACTCAATTCTTAGTTCAAACAGAAAACAAACTGTGCCAAGTCAAGATTTTCTAATGTCTAACAAATTCACTGTTATTTTATAGAGAAGTGCACAATACATACCTAATATGGCAACAACCTAAAGTATTGGTACAACCTACAGTCCATTGATATAAATTTTGGTTTCTATATTCAGTAAAAATTCTGATAATTGATTGTTTTAAAACTTTTTAAGACCACATCTAACAATTTTCTTCCAAATCATTTTCTTTTAACTTACAAAAAATGAAATTATTTTTCTATTAATAAAAATCTGGATTTAATTTTTATTTATCCTCTTAAGAATAAAAATTCAGGAGGTACAATAGAAATTAAGGCTGTTTGCAAAAATACTGCTATTAACTTTAGTGATGTAGACTCCTTCCCCACAGCATGGAAGTCTTTCTTCGAACTGTAAACTTAGTTTCCTCTTCCTTATGTCACCCTGTTTTTTCATATATGTACAGTAATCCAGTGTTGTTTCAGCAATTGCAAAATTGATTAGCCTGAGGATGTCCATTCAACACGGGCAAAAATGTTAGCACTTCAACATTTTTTTTTGGTTATTTGATTTTTTTGATAGATTTGTAGGAAACTATTAAACATAATTTAGGTACTAAACAGAAGATATCATTATTTTTAATAATTTTCTTTCATTCCAAATTCATTAGATATGGTAAAAATTATAACTGCAAAGCAAATGAAGTGTGATTTACCATTAATTTTTCATTTTTAAATCAAGTTACTTCTAATTATAGTAATCTTAATTAACATACATTCAAGTTTATAAAGCATCATTTGCATTTAAAGCTAATTTATAAGTTAACAACTGCTACTTTACAACTAGTTAAAAATATAAATTAATAAACACTGCAATAACCTAATAAACCAGCAACAATATTTTAAACAAAGTGAACATTTTTGCCTGTTTTCTCTCAACAGTTTTTGCCTGATGATGCCTGTTCAACAAAGGCAAAAATGTTCACACTTCATTTAAAATAGTGTTGCTGGTTTATTAGGTTATTGCAGTGTTTATTGATTATTTACATATAGAGCAAATGTAAAATTAATAATGTGTAAAAAAAATTTCTCTGAACTACTTAAAATTGAGCTTTTTTATAAGAAAAAAGATACGAATCCGTCTGTGGCCTTCTGAAATTATCTGGAAGATTGGCTTCATAAACAGCTCTGGCTTTGCTATTTCCCATTTGCTGTAGACACTATAGTTCAATTTTTTTTTTTAATTTGAATTAACAATCACTATGATGCAATAGAATGCATCATTTAAAACAAAAATTAAAAGAATACTTAAATTTTTAAAATTTACATGACTAATACAAAAATTATAAATTTTTTTTTGTATTTTGTTAATTTATCTATTGCTTAATTTCAAACAACAAAAAATTAAAATTGTACAATTTCACAACAGTAAAAGGGAAACTTAAATACATCCAGTGCAGACTACAGAAAGTAAACTGTTCCAAATGTGTACTACATGTAGTTTCAGTTAAGTGGTTTTTATTTCACAATTCTATGATCATATTAATGACTTCATTGTCAAAAACATGAAAGTAGCCTTCCAAAAGTAGCTAACCGTTTTGCTGAGAATGAAATCAATTATATTTATAATTACAAGATACACTTGACATAAAAAACTTAAGAGACTAATTGAAATGAATTATAAACTAGTTAGTGTATTATTAATTATTTTATATACTAAAAAAACAAACTTGATGTGATTTATAAGTGGAAACGATATTATAGAAATCAAGAAATACTTTAAAAATATGTAGTATTGGGTTTTATCATCAAATACAATTTATAGATTGCAACCTTTTGATGAAAAAAAATCATTCAAAAAACTTTGATACAGAGAGCATATTGTATGAATCTAAAAAAGGTGTTATAATGGTATTGAATATGGATCATGAGAGTTAGGAGTAAACCTGCCACAAGCAATGTAAATAATGAATAAAGCTTGGAATGAAGTTACACAAAGCATCAGTCCAAATTGCAAATTCCAAATGATGCCAATGTTCTATTTTGTACAAAAAATTTTTGTTATATATAATATATACAGTAGAGTGTCGTTTATCCAAATCAATTGGGACTGGGGTTGTTCGGATAACCGATTATGTACGAAAAAATATCCCATGTTGAAATTTTTCTCCATTGCGTGTCGCTTCACATTGAATTTTCATCGATGTTAAGCCTAATGTAAACTTTTTAAAATAATAATCGTGGCTATTGTATCGTTAAAAATTATTTCTTTATTTTTTACAAACAAAATTAATATATTGAAAAATATAAAAACAAAGAAAGAATTATACTTTAGAAGTTAATCGAGTATAAAAAACGTTCGATTCAGCACGACACACAGTCCTCGGAAAAACACCACACAAAAATGCCAGTGCTGCCAGCTAAAACACACACACACACACACAAACAAAAAATATATTTGAGTAGCCCAAGATATAGCCAAAGATTGCAGCGCCACAGCACTAGCAAAAATTTAAATTTGCCGAGTGGAATTCTTTCGGATAACCGACTTTTGGACAAACGACGCTCTACTGTAATTCCATTAACTTGAAAATTTGTCCCTCTAAGTTATTGAATCTATATGTACTTGATTTCAGAGAGGAAAGATTAATATAACTAACTAAAAATTTTTAGAAATTCTATAGCTATTTTTGAATATTCAAAACATGAAAAGTCACAAGTAGAGCAGATGATATAGCCATTCTGAATGAGACTACAGTCGACCCCCCTATAATTACGATTCCTATAAAACTACGAAAAAATATACGTATTTTGGAAATGTTGAGTCAGATTAGTGTAGAATCGATTAATTTTATGGAAGAAAACCTTTCAATCAGCCGTAGTCAGTAAACTTGACACGTGTCGGGCTGTGATTGGAACGACTTGTAAGAAATCGGATTCCTAATAAATTGGAACGTATCTATATCTTATAGGGGGGGGGGTCGACTGTAGTAAGAAAATTTTCTATTGGTGACAGCAATGTAAGATTAACAAAAAGGAATGACAAAATATATCTTAAAAAAAAGGTAGACAAAGTACTCGTGATGAATACTTTAACAAGTGTTGAAGTATTATGGAAGGAAATTAAGAAAAAATAGTGTTAAGACAAAAAACAGCTGCTTAACTAAATTTTTCTTGCTTTGTTGAATTATTTTAAATAAGATTTAGAATGAATACATTCATTTCTATGAGAGCAATTAGGAAGAAAGACAGCAAGTTAAAAAATTATATTAAATTATATTATTATTAATTGCTAATTTAAAAATTATCTATCTTAATTTCACAACTAATTAAAAAAACAGTTAATTATGATTACTTGGTAACAGTTTAGAGATTTAAAATCAAAAGCAAATTTTGAATTAAATATTTTAGAAACAGGTTCTGCTTAAAAAGTACTAAATTTTAATTTACCATTAAAAAATGAATGGTTTAAGATATATAAAAGTAAAAAGTGGCATCTGATAGGAAAACAAGTTTATAGAAATATTTTCATACTGCAAGATGGTGAGAAGTCAAATCATGAACATTATTGTCCAGAAAGCACAGGTTGTAGTCTGGTATGCCTGATAGCATGGCTGCCAAGATCTCCCAATCTGACCCCCTTAGATTTCTTTCTGTGGGGATTACATGAAATATGGTTTATGCAACTTTGGTCAGATCTCCAGAAGTGCATCATTGTAGCCATTACCACTGAGACAGGACATGCTGCAGCATACATAGCAGGAACTTGCCTACCACCTTGATGTTGTCACTGACTGCTGGAGTTGCACTCCACAGTCAGTGACATCATCATAGAGATGTGATTTTTCAAATGAAATCTGGCAAGTTTGTCTCAAATCTTTGGTGAACATATCTTTAACTTAATTTTTTTTATAGCCAAAATCAAATTGGATATTTTCAAGTAAAACATCCTGTATTCTCCACAGTTCTAATAAACTGAAAAGTTTGAAACCATTTAGACTTATTTGCTCCAATAAAGCAATTGAAATAGTCTCTCTTACAAGCAAAGTTGGAGTAACAAATAAATTTTATAAACATTTGCAATTCAAGATTATACAAAATAATTTCAGTAAATTTGCAATTCAATTTGCAGACCTTATCAAATAAAATAATAAAAAATAAAGTTGTCAATTTTGAATAGAAAGGGAAATTTCTAGACAAAAGTAAACAATAAAAATTGGCTTCAGGACCAAAGACAATTTACTAATTTGAACACAGAAAAAAAAATTTTAATTATTAAAAATTTTCAAAAACAAATGAATTTGAACTAGTTCCCTAAACACTAGTTCAACAGTAGTCTATACTGTTTGGCAATACACATTTTATTTTCTTTTCCACTCAATTACTTCAAGTTTAAATTTGAAAAATGTAAACTATTTTTTATCTTAGATAAAAACTACTAAAACACTTTAGTATCTTGATGCTAACATCAAACTGAAGAAGACACGATAATTTTGCACGTGTTTACAGGCCATGTGCATTTAAGAAAATTCCAAAACACTAAATTAATATACTATTGTATATTCTATTTTCTCTCTTCAAATTTCATATTTAGATTGAATTTATTACATTTAAATAATCAAAATTTCATAAAAATCTAAACATGAAATCAAAATCAATTACAAATGATTTAATCTAAATACAGTGGTGCCTCGTACAACGTACTTAATCCGTTCCAGGTGCACGTCCGTTAAGTGAAACGTCCGTTATATGAAACACATTTTCCCATAGAAATACATGTTAAAACATATAATTCGTTCTGCAGCATAAGATAACCGTACTGTACCATAAAAAATGAAAATGGAGCAGACACCGGGTAGTCAGATGTTGTGAGAAGGAGGTGGAAGAACACTTTCTTTACACATTCATACAGATACAGACTTTTTACACATTGCAGCGGATCTTTTTTATTGTTTTTTAATTGGAGTCAGATTCGGGAGAGGCTACCGGAACTTGCAGGGTCAACTTCTCTTGTTCCATCCTTTGTTTTTTGCCCGCTGGCTTCTTGAAAAACATGACCAAGGTGGTCTGTTTCTCTTTCTTCTTTAACACCTGTCGGAAATGACGGACAAAGGTGTCATCGTAGAGATCATTGATCCTGTTGGCCTCAGCTCTGTTTGGATAATGAGTGTTGGTAAACTCCTGAACCTCTCCCCATTCGACAAGAAAGTTTTTGTCAACTTTCACTCCTGATGATTTCTTGCTTTGTTTCAATTGAAATCACCTTTCTTTTTTTTTAGAAGCCATGATGCATTATAAATGACTTAACTTGCCAGATTATATAATACGAATAATTCTTTATTAAGATCACTAAACACTTCTACGAGCCACTCTCGCTCCATTTGTTTTTTACAACGTCTTTTCGTCCTGCTACCTCGGCATCTACACAATTACATTTTGTTTATTTGAATCGTCAACATATATTACATTACATTTCTACTTCAGATATACTAATAATACATTCTAATAATACTAATATATCCTAAAAATAGCAGATTGTCATTGGAAACGGCAAAAGAGTGGAAACATCATTCGCACTTGTTCGAAGAAAGTTCATTGTTCGTCTCACGTAACTGCCGAACGGAAAGTCCGTTGTTCGCAGCAAGTCCGTTGCTCGAGTCACGTAACGGTCAAACAGAAAGTCCGTTATTCGCAGCGTACGTTATATGAGGCACCACTGTATATAAAATTACTTGTGCTGAATGACTATAACCCAGAGCAAACCACTGAACCTAGAGATGAAATTTTGTACAGTACACAGTACTTTTTCATAATGTACCCTAAGAGGGATTTTTTGAAATTCTTCTGAGGGAGAGAGGGAAAGAATTAAGGCTTAACCTGAAGAACAGCTTTTACTATACTATTTTAGATGCAATTTTTTTGTTTTCAACTACGTTTAGTTTTCATTGAGTACTTAGGTGTATTAAATTGATAACATTTCAGGCAATGTTATAAATATTTTTATATATTTCGATTTTTTAACCAAATGTTCAAACTGTTTTAAATTCTAATTTGTTATTGTATTTTGGTTCAATTATAGAACGATTGTAAACATTCTATAAATTGATCAAATTGAAAACAGTTCGTTTGATTCTCAGCAATTCTCATCATTCTCAGGGGTAGGTGTTATATAACAATTACTATGGTTTTAATCTTCTGAAACCGTGTTGTCTTATTCCTT